GGAGTTTATATCCAAAATTGCAGTGACCTTGCTTTTAATTCGAAACCTAATTACATCACGTAAAAAATAAGGACATCAGTTTTGACAAAAACGAAAGGAAATTCAGAGAGAAAATAATCAGGTTCTCTTGATATGATGCGGTGGGCAACTAACGTATGACATTATGCAAGAATGAATATCTGATCTCATGGTTACTTCCTGATGAAATTATTTTCACTCAGTATTTTGGTTTTGAATTATGAGCAATTTTGAATCCATAAGTATGTAGTAAATATATATTCGCATCCGCTCCATGATTGATATTTTTGATGGTCGGATGAGTACTTACCTTGTCAAAAAGACGAAGTTGTACTCCAAGATTTTTATTTGGGTATTTATGATGAAGGATATGAAACCCACTGCTGGCCACCCATGACAATGCTAGGGGAAATTCAACTCTGATTCCTAAATGTTGTATATAATTCAGCGCTCCGCATATTATCATGTTCGCCACAAGGATTGCTGAAAAAATAGACAAATTAAAATTAAATATTAAGAAAGATAAAAATTTGAATTTTAAAATTTCTTCGAAAGATCCTGTTCTTGTCTCTTCTTTTTGATCTCAGTATAAACGGCTAAATTTACCTATTTATTTTTAATGCCGATACGGCCTCTATTTGTTTCTTGAAAATGCCTCGGACATTCCACGTATTGATTTCCAGCGTCCGTTTACGTAATTTGTGTCGATTTATCCGATGTTTCCCTTGGTTACCGAGGCAGCAACTGCTGGGTTTTTTAAGATTTAATTTTTTCACGGGGAACGAGGAGTTAGCCCGATACCCCAACCCCTAACCTGGAGGACCAGAGTTTGATTTCGGAGTATATCTCCAAGACAGTTGTTTGCTCTTCAGCTTAAATTGGAGCCCTGTTTGCCTTATCTGTTTGGTCCGTGGTAACAACTAACAAGTTAGGTACCTTTCCATCATCTCTGATGGGCATCCCCCGTTCCGCCTCCTTGGGGACGCGCTTCCTATGGATAACAGGCTCCTCCGAGAGAAGAGATTGATTTTTCACACAAAAAATTCCACCGCTCTGTAAAAAAAAGAAGAAAAAACAGAGAAACTTAAAAAGGGGAACCCACTCTTACTTACTTACAACTCACGAGCCTACCTGGTGATTGCTGCTATCGCTTCTTCCATTTGACCGATTTTATAAAGTTAGTCCTAATCCAATTATGATTTAAGGAAGATCACGAGAAAAACTGTGACGTAGGTGTAAAATAAGTCCTATTAAATTTTCGTAATTCTGTTATCGTGAGTTTTTTTCCTCTATTAAATAAACCCTGGCCGATAATTGACTTTAATCGCCAACGTTACTGATAATTATTGTTTCCTCGATATGAGCGAATTCACTAACCGTACGTTGACCTATGAGAATTCGGTGGTATCAACCTACGGAGATAACGCTTCTTTGCAAGAGAAACCGAAGTTGCTATTTTGTTATTCTTTATCGTCTTGAGTTTCGATCAGTGTAATGACCCACATATAGTGACGAGCAGAATTAGTCAAGACACTTTTGTGAATGGAGAGTTTGTATCCCTTTTTTCACTATCTTTGGTATGTACACACTTATTTTGTACAATATTTTTAAAATCTGTTCAGAAATTGAAGAAGTAGTTATCTCCATTGTCTTCCGCACTAACAATTTGTTTATAATATTTACTGACAAAAAAAATGAAGAATGCACAGAATACCATCGGTAACGTAACCAAGGGGGTGGTTTTGACTTACGGGACGTTGGAGAGCGTTCACCGCACGCAGATTTCCGGCTTTTCCGGGAAACGCACAAGGCGAATTTGGTGAGAAACATCAAAGTCGGATTCAGCAACCAAAAGTGCGTAAGCACCATCTTTAACCTCTTTTGACCTATTTCTTGCATCCATCGACCTCTGTTGGTGCCAAACTATAATACCTACGAGAAAGAGATGACATTTTTATAAGAGGACGATGCGGCGAAGGAGAGAGGTTGTTCTTATACTTCCATTAAACATGGACCAATGTGTGCATGATACACGTCATTCCCATAATTTTAATATTCTATTAATCCAGATATAATAATTAAGTATAATTCTCGATTAAGCATACATTCTGGACACGCATTTCGCGTCCGTCGCGGCTGGCCAAGAGGCTCTGCCCCCTGGATCCCCCCGGTCACTCGTTACGCGAGCCATTTTTCTGATCAGTTGGACATTTGATCACTATGATGTATAATGTATACATTTTGGAGACTCTCAAGACAGACATGATTTTGTCACCGGAACGTGCCATGACTTGCACATTAGTAAATGGACTGCATTTTGGAATTTGGAGCTATAAATTCTGTCTCATCTGGAAAAACACGTATGTGCACAGGTAAGCTCATGGCACATACGTTGTTTTTAAACCGGGCCGGAATTTATAGTTCCTAATTGCAAAATGTAGTCCAAATATGTGGTGATGATGCAATTATAGATCCCCATCGGATACATGCAATTTTGAAACTTCAAAAACGTATTTCCCGAAGTAGCAAATACATGCGCTTTGTCCTCCAATCCCCTCAAATGTGTATATGTATCCTTAACCAAAATTACGTAGAGAAACAACGTAAATATTTACGTTAGAAGGGCCACTTAGTGGGACGATAATTTCATAGTTCATAGCACAGTTCGCATAGTTGCTCTGAGGAGTCATTTTTGAGTTCTGTCGATCAGCGGAATGAACTTGAATTCACACTGGAAAAAAAAGTCTGCTACGGTCAAGCCGTCTCGGAATCTTGAGGAAAAATCAACTTGATTCAAGAATTTTTATCCTAAAACAAGCAATTTATTGCTAAATTCAAGATTCGAGATTCTTATTTGCAGCTACCTCATAGCTTGGATCATCTGCTAGCTTGATTCAAGCAGCACAAAAATCTTGAGTCAAACCTGCTGAGTCTTACATCAAGCCACCATGGCTGCTACTCGTAATTCTAAGAAGTTGTTTCTTGATTCAAGATACTGTATACTCGATTCAAGAATCCTGGTTTCAAGCATGACACGAATCTTGGAAATAGCTGAAAAAATTAGACTTAAATTAAATTTGCAGCCAACTTCTTGAATTAAGTTTCCAGTGGATTGTAACCCTTCCGCCTTCATTTTCGACACGGGCATTAAGTTATACATTCCTACATTCTCAAGTCATTCCAGGAGATCTCCAAAAGCCGCCCTTTTTAACAGTGCTGCAAACCGAGAACAAAACCCGCGGCAACGCACGACGACTTCAACATGATCCATGTCGAAGAATCAGTAACGTTTTATCCCTACGTTACGGAATTTTATGAAAAATGAATAAAACTTTCAGTATTTAGTATTGGATCCGAGCATTAAACGAAAAATAATTAAGATTCCGCCGGGTAGCTAGCTAATTTCAAGCAGCATGGCCATGCTTAATTTAAGCTATACGTTTCTTGGCGGCAAATTTAAGATTTTTTCCAGCTTGCTTCAAGCTGATTTTGATTTGTTTCAAGCTACTTTTTTTTCCAGTGCATTTGTCGAGGTAAAACTAGTTTCAAATAAATGCATAATAGAGTTTCTACAAGACTAAGGTAGTGGGACAACGCAAAAACATATTTCAAGAGGCTCAAAGTGGCCTCCGAGCGTAATTTTACAACACGGGCCTCGAATTTAGAGCCTCAATGAACAACCGTTTAAACTCGAATTTTTCTGTCCGGATACAACTAGCTTCAAATATGTCGAACTACGAGTATAACAGACTTCAGGTATGGGAAAAAGTCGCTGGGCAAGTGTTACAGTTCTTTTAGACGACCGTTAAGTGGCTCTCCGGAGTGTTTTCTAAAACGCTTGTCTCCGTTTTTCGTGTGGCGTAGGGCCCGGATGCACCACTTGTGAAGTTGGGTACGTCCAATCCGTTACGAGGTAGGTTCGAATTATGTTTCAGCGAAGTTTGAACAGCGGCGTGGCGTGAATTGCGATGTATCGATTGTTATGCCATTTAAACCTATGGCAAAGAATCGATTATTAAGGTGTTCGCTGCGAACACCCTGTAAATCGATCTTTTCCCATAGGTTTAAATGGCAGATCAATCGATATATCGCAAATCACGCCACGCCACTGAGTTTGAAGCGGGCTGAAGCAGTGGCGCTAAAAGTGCAGCTGGCTCTTTGACTATAGACAGCAGCGTGGGTGCGCAGCGGATTTTACAAGTAGATGTCATCATCACGAAACAGATCTAGCAGGTAAGCTGCGGCAGTGGGCACCAGAGAGAGTCGCGATCGAACACACAGTCTTAAAGGACTTAATTTAACTGTTACATCCAGAAGATGAATAAAATTCACTGGAAAAAATATTGCAACCCAAGAATCAACATTGAATCTCAGGGGATAATTAGGGGTTTTTTGTCAATTATAGTTTTTTTATTTTGTGTCATAGATTTGGTGGAGAGGGGAAAACCTGGACTAAGACCGGCAAAATGAGGCTCACCACGAGAGCTGAAGAAGTTGAGCACGACAACTTGTCCGATTACCTGGACGCAATAGACGCACCCATAAAACGGGCTACGGACGCACTCTTGGCCGACCAAAAAGAGGATGGTCATTGGGTGTACGAATATGAATCGGACGCAACGTATCCTGCCGAATACATCTTCATGGCTCGCTTTCTAGGCGAAACGCCGAACCTAGAGCTGGAACAAAAGATCGCGCGCTACTTGCGACGCACACAACTTCCGGACGGAGGGTGGTCACTCTACGCCAAGGGTCCGACGTCGATCCACTCAAGCGTGTGCGCCTACTTGGCCCTCAAGATGATCGGCGACTCCCCAGATGCAGAGCATATGATTCGCGCCCGCAAGGCGGTCCTAGCAGCGGGCGGCGCGGAAGCCGCAAACGTCCTCACACGTATTCGCCTCGCTTTGCAAGGTATAATCTCATGGGATGCTGTACCCGCAATACCCCCAGAGATCATGTATCTGCCGAGATGGTTCCCATTTCACTTGTCGAGGGTGGCATGCTGGGCCCGCACCAGCATTGTACCACTGGCAGTGCTCAGTACAAAGCGAGCGGTCGGGAGACCTCACGGCGTTCGCATTGACGAATTGTTCCATTGCCCGCCCAAGCAGGTCGGCTTGTTGCCGCGCGCACCACACCAAAGCACCTTATGTTTCTCATTCTTCAGCGCTGTGAACACCATCTTGCGTTCGGTCGAGCCGCTCATTCCGCCAAAATTGCGCCAGAGAGCAATCGACCGGGCGGTGTCATGGGTTGAAGATCGAGTACGACCCGGACAAGGCCTCTTCGCTGCCACATTCATGTCTATAAACGCTCTATTTATGTTTGACGCGCTCGGTTACCCGCCAACTCACCGGAGCCGCGCCATCTTGCGGAAGTTCGTTGAGACGTCAGTCCTTGTTCGCGACGAAGAGGCCTACGTCCAAACATGTTTGTCTCCCACGTGGGACACGCCGCTCGTGGCGCACGCTCTCCTGGAAACGCGCGAGCCACGCGCTGCGATGGCCGCACGGCGCGGACTTGAGTGGCTGCGCCCGCGGCAGATTCTGGACGTGCGAGGCGATTGGGCCGTGATGAAACCCAACTTGCTCCCCGGAGGCTGGCCGTTTCAGTATGGAAATTGTTCCTACCCGGACATCGACGATACGGTGATCACTGTGCTGGCAATGCACCGTGCAGATCCGAAGGCATTCGCCGAGTCGATAAAGCGAGGGCGCGACTGGGTGGTCGGTATGCAGACCGCCAACGGAGGCTGGGCCTCTTTCGAGGTCGACAACACTGACTACTGGCTGAATTACCTCCCGTTCTCGGACCACAATTGGACCATCGATCCTCCCACCGCGGACGTAACTGGCCGATGTCTGTCCATGCTTGGGCAGCTAGGTGAGCTGTCGGAAACAAGTGTACCGTCTCGCCGCGGGCTGGACTTCCTCCTCAACGAGCAAGAGACCGACGGCAGTTGGTTTGGAAAATGGGGCATTAATTACACCCATGGTACTTGGAGTGCGTTATGTGCGCTAAATGTGATGGGTATCCCCCACGATGATCCGAGGATGAAGCGTGCAGTGGAATGGCTTGTCTCAGTCCAGAACGAAGACGGGGGGTGGGGGGAGGATGCGTGCAGCTACGAGCGTGGTCACTACGTGGGGGCACCCAGTGCTCCAACGCAGACATCTTGGGCGCTGCTCGGGCTTATGGGTGCTGGTGCCGTCGGCCATCCTGCGACGGCGCGTGGTATTGGATGGTTGATCAAGACGCAGTGTGGACATGGCCTATGGGAAGAGGAATGCGACAACGGGGTTTGTGCACCGATCCTTCCCTTTCATCACCACCATGGCTACTACAGGTATTTTCCACTTTGGGCTTTGGCGCGGTATCGAAATCTGAGACTCGACGGCACAACCCGCGTTTCGCTCGGGTTGTGAAACTTTGTCGAACACATGCTCTTCCTGGCCGTTTCGGCCAGAACTCTGCTTTTGGCTCCCGCCGCTGGAGCTGTGGCGCGAAGTGTGAATTTAACAATTTTGCAGTCTCGGCAAAAAACAAATATAACTGTCTGTTGTCGATGAAAACGAACAAATTTAATGTGAGCGAATTCTTTTAATATGAAAACTCATTTGCTTTTAGTATTGTGGCTGTTTTATTTTTTATTTATTTATTTTTTTTCATTTTTATCAACAGCAGACGATTATGTTTGTTTTTGGCTGAGACTGCAAAATTGTTGACTTTCAAATATTGCGCCACAGCTCTAGTGGCAGGAGCCGAAATCCGAATTCTGGCTGAAAGGGTCGGGAAGAGCATACCTACGTTTCACTTACCTTTTGTCGAACAAGCATATCCACGATGTCAATAATGGATTCGTTAGACGTGTCGTGGGGCCATCTATCGATTATGTGAAGTCGTTGAGTGGTACAACACAATGGAATCTTCTCACCTGGCGAGCACTCGCGATTTATGAAATTAAAGCTGTCTTTTTTTTTTAAATAAAAAAGGAGCCATAAATTACCGCGTTAGTGCATGCAAAATCTCAACCGTATGTTTAAGGAATGTAATATTTAATGCTTACTATGTTCCTATTTTAAAATCCAACCTTACTGATCTTACCAACCAATCTTACTGGTCGATATTATGCTTTATTTTAACGATTTTAAAATAAATAAAAATTTCACCGATCAACACTATGTTTTATTTTAACTACAAAAATTCTCGCAAATTCTCTCTTTTTGAAAAAAATGTAGAAAAAACCAAAAAAAATAAAAAACAGCAGAAATATGTACTCCAACGTTACATACAATGCACTGAGTACTGCACTGAGAAAAAACTATGGCTTATAAACCTATTAGAGGTAAATATGGAACACCACTAATAGTAGTACCTCTACATATAATAATAGCACATATACCTTAGTTATGGTCTCTGTACCTTAATTAGGTACAGAGACCTTAGTATGGTTCACAGACCGAGAATCATTAGTTTATTTACGACTATTATAGGTGTTCCATATTTACCACTAATAGGTTTATAAACCATAGCTTTTTCTCAGTGTGGGCTCTTCATCTATAATTCTTGAAATTTATTATTTAAATGCAAATAAAGTTTAGAACAATAGAAAAGAAAGGTACTTAGGTACATACTATTTTTTCTAATCTTAGAGAAGAATTTTACCTACTGAAAAGAATAGCACAATCATGACTATTTTTTGAGGGAAACAATTGTTTTACGATGCCATATTATTTATAGGAGAGTAACAAGACTAGCTAATCGGAAAGAAAGAAAAAACAGGCGTGAGGAACAATAAGAAAATGTATATTATTAAATTTAGGAACATGAGTGAAGAAAAGGAATTAAGTGGCAAATAAATTAATTTTTCAAAAAAATTGAAATTTATGAGGCCTTTTGAAATTTCACGAGAAATTTCACATGAAATTTCAAGGGCGAACTCAGATTAGGCTTAGCTGATTAAGATCATTCAAGGAAAAAGCGATGATATTTCTAATCTATGAATCTAATGATAAGTAAATCCATCCGATTGGTACCGTGTCAAACCTCGATCGACAACCAACACTATATAAAATGATGCTTTGCCGATCTGCGTCATTTCATAACGTGGCCTGCAACATTCATTAATCAACCCGGAGACCTTGGGCTCAAACAATAAATGATGGCAAAATTTAGGGGAGCCTCAAATTCGTGCCAGCTTCAGTTCTCATTTAATAGCTCCTTTGTGTCGTCCAAGTAAGTTCCGGCCAACTGTGAAAAAAGAAAGAAAGACTAATTAAAAAGGAAAAAGGATGAAGGAAGTCGGAGTTCTCGTTCAGTCGATGGGTAACGCACTTAAGGGGGAGGGCGGAGGGGGGGGGGTTCAAATTCTTGGTACGTTCGAGAGGGAGGAGGAAAAGCCCACTGCTATGTAATGCTCTAAATTTGACAATATGTACGTGGCAGTTTGATGATTACTCAAGCTTGAATTATAACACCACACTGAGAAAAAACTATGGTTTATAAACCTATTAGAGGTAAATATGGAACACCTATAATAGTCGTAAATAAACTAATGATTCTCGGTCTGTGAACCATACTAAGGTCTCTGTACCTAATTAAGGTACCCCGTACCATAACTAAGGTATATGTGCTATTATTATATGTAGAGGTACTACTATTAGTGGTGTTCCATATTTACCTCTAATAGGTTTATAAGCCATAGTTTTTTCTCAGTGTAATGGATCTAAAGTTAACCGAATTTTCAGCATAACTCTCACTTACAGACTGAATTACGTTCATAGGGCTTCACATTACTCGGCCCGCTCTCGAAAGAATTTCTTCAAAATGCATCATACCGAAAATGTGCAACATTTATGACGCCTTCGCGGTAAATTAACCTGAATTTGAGCAGCTTTGATCGCCTATTTCGGTTTAAAAACGAATTATAGAGCGCAATTCACACCGAAACCAAATTTAGCCGGCACAACTCCACGAATTAACCAATAACTTAATCTTTTCACGTACCACAGTTTAGACCCACTTGCATCGAATAAACCTGCGATTTTCTGATTTATAAATATGCTTTCCCAAATTTTACATGAAATTCAACTACCACTAAGCCACTTTCTTCCGATAAGCGATAGACACAGCACCTCATTTGCTGATGGCGCTCCCTGAAATTATGAACCCGCGCGGAGAGGAGATGGGTTCAGAAATATCCACTTTTCTAGAGCTCTATTAAATCAAATTTAAAAATCTGTAGCACGTCAGAAAGCTGAGAGTAGGTAATGAATTTTCAACGCTTTTTATATATTTCTTTATCTATCTTCATTCAGGAGGTATTGGATAGGTAAACTTACTTTCTGGACGACCCTCGTAATTTGAAACCTAATTACATCAGCTACTCTCGATTTGATGCGTGTGGGCAGCTTACATATAAGACATCATGCAAGAATGAATATCATGGTTACTGCCTGATGAAATTATTTAAACTCAGTATTTTGGTTTTGAATCCATGAGTATTGTAGTAAATATATGTATATTCACATCCGCTCTATGATTGATATTTTTACTAACTAACTATTTTTGATGGTCGAATGAGTGCTTACCTTGTCAAAAAGACGAAGTTGTAATCCAAGATTTTTCTTTGGGTATTTGTGGTGAAGGATATGAAACCCACTGCTGGCCACCCATGACAATGCTGGCGGAAATTCAACTCTGATTCCTAAATGTTGTATATAATTTAGCATTCCTAATATTGTCATGCTCGCCAAAAGGGTTGCTGAAATAAAAAGATTAATTCAAATTAAATATTAATAAGGGAAAAGTTGAATTTTAAAATTTTTACAAAAGATCCTTGTTCCTTCTTCTTGATCTCAGTAAAAATGGCTAAATTTACCTCCTTATTTTTGATGCCGATACGGCCTCTACTTGTTTCTTGAAAATGCCTCGGACATCCCACGTCTTGATTTCCAGCGTCCGTCTCCGTAATTTGTGTCGATTTATCCGATTTTCCCTTGTTTATCGCGGCAGCAACTGCTGGGTTTTTTAAGATTTAATTTTTTCACGGGTAACGAGGAGTTAGCCCGATACCCCAACCCCTAACCTGGAGGACCAGAGTTTGATTTCGGAGTATATCTCCAAGACAATTGTTTTCTCTTCAGCTTAAAATTGGAGCCCTGTTTGCCTTATCTGTTTGGTCCGTGGTAACAACTAACAAGTCACCTTTCCATCATCTCTGATGGGCATTCCCCTTTCCACCTCCTTGGGGACGCGCTTCTTATGGATAACAGGCTCCTCCGAGAGAAGAGATTGATTATTCACAGAATATATTCACTAAATTATTTACCACAATCATCAAATCAAAATTTACCTCGACAAAGATGCGAACATCAACATAAGAGGCAAGATCAACCCCTCGTGTTGCATGCCCTTGACAATCATCTATCTTTAAAAACGACGAGCTCGCCGAGAGGGCTTGCCAAAAAGGAAAAAAATGTGCTGTGATGTTGCAAATGTGGCCAAACAACTCTTCATAGCTCCTAGTAACACCGTCTACCGATAGAACCCCAAAAATTTCCACCGTTCCCAAGTTACATCAAAATTCCGGTTTTTTGGGTCCCTCCTCGTATTTAGAGCATATTAACTTCAGAATGCTAAAAAATCCACGTAATACTAAATACTTACTGTAATGCAACGGGACAACAAAAGCAGGTATGATGAGGTCCAATGTAAAGAGGAAAATTTCCACTGGGTGAACGACCAGGAAGTTCCAGGCTGTTTGATGTTTGACTTTATGGTGCATTCTGTGCACAGACATGAAAATGCCAGGTTCATGAAATAAACGATGCAGCCAATATATATCCAATTCCTAAGGTTATTAGAAAAGGAGAATTAAATTTCGTTTGAATCGACTGTTCATTACACAGAATATTCTACCTTCAAAGTCAGTCACTGATACATATATTTCACCTGGCTATTTTCACTCTACCTAACAAAAACGAACAGCTATTTTTATAAAGCTTTATGATTGTAAGGACAAAATGGGAAGCTAGAATGAGGTAAAAAGGCAGCCCAATCCTTGAGACATTGAGAAAATTATATCGACATTGAGAGTCCACAACCACGTACGTACGTATCTCTTATTGTGATGTTTGAATATTTCTGCTCCTCCTATTTTGTTTTTCTAAAGGAGGAAAAGTCTAGATAATCTCTTGAAGTTTTCGCAGAATTTTCCCCACACAGAGAAGAAAAATCACGGAAGTTTTGAAGAATTGCGATTGAGCAGTTATCCATTCAAAAAACAAAGTATGGCAGAATTCTCATAGGCTTGGCGGAATTTTTACCCTTTTTGAGGGTTTTGTGTGGTTTCCTATATACTATTACTACCACAACTAATACTGCTGCTGGTGCTACTACAACTACTACCACTGCTAGTACTATACCACAACTATTACTACTACTACTACCATTGCTCTTACTACTACTACTACAGCTCCTACTACTACTGCTATTGCTACTACTGCTATTGCTACTACTGCTATTGCTGCTGCTGCTACTGCTGCTGCTACTCAGGGCTGGATTTACCAATAGGCTACATAGGCTATAGCCGAGGGTGCAACATTCTGCGGGGCGCAAAATTTATGAGAATTTATTAAAAACGTGACTTATTAAAAACTGTTTAAAATCGTGTTTTTTAAAGGTGAATTTAAACATTTTCCTGACTTCAAACATCCTTCTTCTGATCTGGAGGGGAGGGGCGTCTTAGGGACACCCATCCTCCCACGAGAGCGCCCACTTTCAGGGGCGCCACCCGAAGTTTAACCTAGGGCGCTACAAATGTAAATCCGGCCCTGTTGGTACTGCTACTGCTGCTACTAATACTATTAGTACCACCACTACCACTACTACGATTACATTATTTCTGAAAAAGGAAACATACGTATCGACTCATGCCATACATAACTTACTCTATAATATAAAATCATAAGAGTAACGCTTAACGCTTCCAGCGCGAAGCACTTCGGGAGGTTGTACCGCAAATTGGTTGAAAGGTACGGGTACCCATACCCCTTGGTAAAAATGTATGTAAGTGCGCATTGGCGGCGAACTTGCAAAAACTACATACAAATCTCGGTTGCGGTGTTTCAACACATCATCCGCTGGCATTTTATTTTTAGAAGGAGACTAAACCAACATCATGGCTTGAAATTGATGAAGAATTGCTGAAGTTTTAAAAATAACGTTTTGTAATTTTTCATTTAAAAAACAAGGAGTGCAAAAGAGTCGGAAACGCCGCAAACAGAGATACGCATTTCTGCAGTTTCGCCGTCGAGACGATACACTGTGAGTGAATCGAATTATAACTCACACATGTTTTTCTCAGCAATAGAGAATTTGCAGGTGTCTGAAATGCTGTACATTTCATATTTAAAATGATACTGCAAGGAAAACTGAGTATGAGGATATCATTGGTTTCTAAACTGGACAATTGGATTGCATTTCGCACAAAGGAACCAAGAGCATTCCAGCGTTGACAGGATTGTGCAATTGACATTCTTTGCAATACACTTACTGAAATCACGCAAAAAATTGAATTTACCGTGGTAATTTTCGTCATGAATTTATAGTTTATTGACAGTAAACATATATATTGATTAAAAATGATCAGTTTCTGTTTGCAAGGTGAACCAAGTTGCACAATCTTAGCAACATTGGAATGCCCTTGCTTCCTTTTTGCAAAATGCTTTGCTTTGCAAATTCCTTTTTGCAATTATTGGAGGAAATATAACAAAATAACCTAATCTGCTAAAATGCATGTGTTCAAATGGAAAATGCCGCCAGATGACGTCATGAGGCGGCACGTTTTCTCACTTTTAAATCTATTTTTCTCCAATATCCCATGTCAGAAAAAAATTATGAAAAATACTGCAAACTCAGCTCATTAGGCACTCTCAAATAAAGCAATGAAATTTGTGTGTGCAAATTCTCCATTTATTCTTTCCGTGATCGATCTTTGATGTGTACGAGTTGGATTCCAAAGGTGCCAGTTTCAAGGTGGATCGGTAACTACGCTTACCTCAGGGATACCATTCTACCACTGTGGCAATCGCAAAGCTGGCGGAAATTGCTCACCAAAACCACGACGCGTTTCGAGATACCATCTGGTAATTCTACAAGCATTGCTTTGACGTATAAATCAGGATTCATTACCTGGTACACCACTAAGACGGGAAATTGCAGGGCCAACCACCATAAAGAGTAGTCGGTCAAACCGTAGTATACTTTGGACAGGGGCCCTCTGTTGGCAATGTAACACAAAACCGTTCCTACGAGGAAGCTCCAGTAAACCAAACAGGCAGCGCATGTTACTTTCTCATTCCACGTTGTCGTAAATTTGTCAAGCAGTAGGTTCCCTGAGCTGCCAGGAACTGTGCTTTCCAAGTAGTAATTTTTCTGTAAAAAATGCCGGTATTTAAAAATGGCAGTTAGTTTTGAAAGAATTCTACGAACGATTCCAAACTGTGTATACATTTTATAAATAAGTTTTAACCATAACAACCAACAGTCGAACATTGTAGAAAATACTCAGAGATGGAAAATTCCATGATGTTATTCCACTGAAATTTCACGAAAAACCTTGAAACTTTAATTGGGGATGCATTCAGAAGGCCAAGAAACGTCAAAAACCGTGATTCTCGATTTTAAAGTTTCACTTCTTCTCTCACCACCCACTCTACTGACAGCTCATAGTTTTCAACATAATTCTGTATCTTAATTATTCGTGATGCATTGACGCTCCAGCTCGACGGCAATAAAATTTTCCTCCGAGTTCTTAAGTAACTTATGCACGTTCCAAGGTACTTAAGTTTAAAATATTATTTAAAAATGGATCAAACACATATGGTCTTCCGAGCAAAAAACATTAAAGTGGGGCAGATGTTACGGCCAACCGCAAACCTGCCAAAGAAATTCGGGCCCTGGAAATGATGATCACTGAAATTGAGCAAGGAAGACCAGGCTTTCAAGCAAAACTTCAAGTGCTAACATCGCGCTATGAGGAATAGAAAAAAGTATAACGAAAAATGCATGGACTATTTCCTAAGTAGCCAAGTTCAACCAAAAAGTTGCAACTAACTTTCAACTTTGTTTCAACTTGGTTGCAACTTTCTAACCATTTAGTTGCAACAGGTTCCAACATTCAAACAACAAAGTGTGAACTATCAAACTCTCATGAGAATGAGAAATTGACCAAATCAATAATATCACACAGTATCACATCACATTCTAAAACCGCACTCATGACTATGAGACACGTGAATTGCTCGTGAGGAAGTTTGGTGTAGTTAAGTTAAAAACTGAACATGCAAGTAAGAAGTAATGACGGTTAGGTATACGGGGTTTAAAGATGGCCGACAATGATGACATCTCTGGCGCGAAAGTCAAAACTGCCACTTGTTTACTTCCATTTCTTATAATATTTTAAATGTAAGTTTTATGCATGTGCCTATAAAAATTGTCTCATGATAGAAAATATTTGTCATTGACTTAAAAAAATTTGAACCGCCTCCAAAGAACTTTAAGAAAAAAGGTGCAATTATATTGAGCCTTTAATTCAACTTTCTGGCCATCTTCTCTCAACAAAGTTGCAACAAAAATTTCGCCAATAAGTTGCGACTTTTTTATGATGTCACAACGAGTTGCAACCGTGGCTATTTGTGTTAAGGGCATGTGGTTACAACCTTAAACTAAAGAGGTGAGTTACAATTCCTTACTCTCCTCTACCTCTTCTTTTTCTTCTTCTTTTTATGTGCATAGGTAAAACTGCATGTACGGAAGACGGCTTGTAGGCCATTAAGCCAAGCGTCCTGTAGGTATAATCGCGTGTATAGGCGAGAGGCATGTAAGTTAAATGTTGGAGGCCAAATTATATTGTAGGTAAGAAAATGTGCTACAGATCAAAATGCTTGTATGTGAAACGTGGTGTAACAGTGGAAATCGTGCCATAGTGAATCAGTTAACCTGGATGCGAAATCTCCTTATTATAAAACTTCCTTTCTTTTCTTTCTCATTTTTGTGACAGTAAGTGAAAATTTGAACCGAGTTCTTGCATGTGTTAGGGATTGGCGCTTCTTGTATCTTTACGCGATAAACACGATAGTGCCACCGGTTTTCTCTGAAATCAACCCCCAAACTCAAAAAAAGCTCTCGAAGTTCAGGCCATAATGGAGGGGATATTCCACTTCACGCTGAAAGCCCACAACTCTGATCACAGATAGGAAACAAGTACATCGGTAGGGTTACCATTTATCTTGGGAACTCCCACGACTGGAACCACGTCAGCGCTGCTAATATATTTAATGCATATTTTATGCATGGAAAGTTTAACCAGATATAAGTAGAGATGGTCTGTCGACGTAGCGTGGGATATCCCCTCCATTACGGTCTGATTTTTGAGAGATATTTTGAGCTTGGAAATTGATTTCAGAGTTTAATGGCACCATCGCACATCGTGTTTCTCGGGAAATTTTACATAAGGAGAAACACTTAGAACACAATTAATACCTGACACATGCAAGAGCTGCATTGCACTGCATGCTTTGACTGCTGGATCATGATCTCATAATGATTTTCGAATTCAGTTTTATTTGAAGGGACTCGAAACTCACTTGTATATAGATAGCACCCAGAACCCAAGATGTAAGGACAATGAAAGTAAATGCCGCGATGAAATACATTATATTCTGCAAGTATAACTGTTGGAGCCATGAGGTCCGTCTTTCAAATTGTTTTTCCAAATCGGTCACGTTGTTCATCAAACCAATTGCTCGAGAGTCAAAAGTCGCTCTACCTGGAAATATCAAATAAAATTACTGTTTCAAATGGGTGAACTTAAAAAAAATATCGGACAACCTTGTAATATACAGCGTAAAATCTCACTGACTACAGAAGAAAAACATTGTCATAGAGCACGGGTATTCTGCTCTCCGTAAATGGTCTAGGCATTATAGGAAAAATAGAAAAAAAAATAATATATAAGGTTTTATGTGCCCAAGTTGTTCATTGTCAAGGACTCCCAGTCCCCGTCAAGGACTCCCAGCAACAAGTGCCCCAGAATCCCCTGTACGCTCGGTCACCCTACCCCCCAAAAAATCGACTTTTCCTCGGTTTTCCGTAAATTACTCAAGAAGAATTGGTTTTAGCGAAAAATGAGTTATTAAAAAAATTAAAGATCATATAAAATTTCCAATAAGAATAACTCCCATGAATTCTTTTGTAAAACGACTTTGAGCCTCTCATAATGGCCGTTGAAAAAACGGGCATTTACGGAAATTTCAGTTTTTTCCCAAAAATTCTCTTTTCTTTGAAACGGGTGCTCTAACGTAAATGTTAATTTACGGATTCCGAAAGGGCGTTGAATTTAACAGTAGAAATGGTTATTAACATCGATCATTATGGACTCACGGTCGATCAACGGAAATACGATACCTATGGAAGCTCTTCCGCCCGGTCCTAACAAATCAAGTGTTGGGTAGGTAAACATTTGCGGCCGGAGTTCTAATGACACTAAGATCATACTTTTTTTCACTCGGGGGTCGTTTGTATTAGCCTTTACTCCCTCTTAAGGTCTTAGCTCAAAGCTCAAAGACACTCAGACTGTTAAAACACAATGGACCACTAGACAAGGTACGAATTTAAGCATTCTGATACATGTTTCTTAGTCAGAATTTCATGTAGAGCACAATTCGCACAGCGAAAATTACTTAAACCAACTCCTGACGAAGATATTCACGTTTTTATTTCACATTGGTTACGAGGAATTTGAACTGGCCGCTCACAAGAAACTCAAAGCTCTACGTGAGTCAAATCGCGCACTACAACGGTTTCAGCAAGCTTCTCAGTCGAGTAATGTTCATGTCTCACCATGTGTTGTGCAAACTATAAGCAATTTGCTATAGCTGAGCCAAAGCGTCAAGATTGAGGTTGCCAGATTTGTATATCGTAGAGACTGCCATGATAACGTTTAGCGCGCGATGTGAATCACGTAGAGCATTGAGTTATCATGAGCGGGTGGTTTGAATTCACGCATCAAGAATCATTAAATATCTTCGTAAGGAGTTAATTTCGGTAATTTTCGTTGTGTGTATCATGTTCTACGTGAAATTTTGGTTAAGAGACAAGTATCAGAACGCTGAAATTCGTACCTTGTCTAGTGGCCCATTCTGGCAACCTTCTAATACACGTCGTAAAGTCTCACTGATCACAGAAGAAAAACACTGTCATAGAGCACGGGTATTCTGCTCTCCGTCTGTAAACCGCAAGGGGGTTTTTTTTTTTTTGTTTTTTTTATATTCTTCCTCTTCCAAAAATGTATTACAATGATACGTGTTTTTCTCAAAATCTAACATGAAATTAAGCCGTCAAATTGAAATTCTCATTCCATATCGAAACGCTAATATGGAAAACTCACCTTGGAGGGCACTTATGATCCAAATAATACTACCGGCCGCAATGAGAGTATGAACAATACTGTTACGGATACTCTTTTGAATATTTTGGAATAATTTAGAGAGAAGCAAATCATTGCTTTTTGAGCGGGCTGTCAAGTAAAATGCTGATAGTGAAAGTAACAATCCCAGCATCGCGAAACGGAAGTTAATCCTCTGCGAAACGAAAAAAAAAACAAGTTAGTAAAGTTGCAGTAGCTTAACCGCACAAAGATTGTTAAAACAAGTATAAATGTACAATGATTTTGGCTTGGGAGATAAAATGGAAATTGATAAATGCTGTTTTTTTTTTTTTTTTTCAGGAAAAATGCCTCGGAGTGAGAAAAGTAGAGTATTTTATGGTCATGATAAGAATATATCGACCAAAAAATACATAATATTCTATAACATAAAATCATAAGCGTAACGCATAACAACCTAGCGCTGGAAGTGTCCGCTAACCCTTTCCACTGCATCATCTCTAAGCTTCCTGCTCTTTCTGCACCTACCCAATCCGCTACCCTTTCTCATAAAGGTCTGCAATGAATAAAATGAAACATTTTGATCGACATAATGAGTAATTCTTTTATTTCAGATTTTGTATTCCCACTTTTAAATCTCAGCAGTATTGTAGCCCAATAATATGTAAAGTTTTTATCAGAGGAACTTTCTAAATAAAATCAATGACCACTAAAGTCTTACCAGTAGAGAGAGTTTCAATCAGTCGTGGGAAGACAAAGAAAAGGAAAAAAAGAAACTGAATCTGAGCACTCCTCAGAATGCACTCTCTCAATGACAGAGAATGAGCCTTCATTGTGAACTTTTATTCGAGACGAGGAAATATTTGTTATTTCAATATATGAAATTCAAGGTTGATATCTTCTCGTTCCGAAGGTTCCGGTCGGCTACGTCGTTTGGATTCCTCTGTTAATATCAAGGTAAAAAATGCATCAATCAGATTTCCGCTTCGCAGTATTCATGTATAATTTGACTTGATAAAATAATTAAAAGTTTTTTCTCCCATTAATACATGATAGACTTGAGGAATATTTTCACCGCAACCAATGTGCGCAATATGACTCAAAGTTCCGTCTCAATTTCTTTTAGAAGTAAAACCTAGTATACTTTTATGCAGCTAAATCTAAATTGACAAACATGGAGGTACGCGTTTCCGATCTGTCATCCGCGCATTATGAGTTTCGCACGGAATTATAAGGCCACTCATTTACGTATCAAAATATGAAGGGATAAGAGGCAGATAGGCTTCGGAAAAAGATGCTAAAGATCGGAGCAACGTGATTTGGAACTAAGGGGGAGTGATTTGCTTTCATTTTTCGTCGTTTTTTAGCATCTTTCCGACTCATGAGCGCAAACAAACATTGTGTAAAGTGCATATTTGAACAACCAACCCTATTCTATCTTTCTCCTATCTATCTATATTAATAAAAACGGACGGGGTATGTATGTCCGACATCTCCTCCTCGGCTAATTTGTCCATTAATTCGAAATTTACCGGAATGTACTACGAAGGTCAGGGATCGGCATTGCGGGGGCCATAAGTCTCAATCTCAAAAATCCCTTCAGTAATCCTTCAATAAACGTCCCTCCCGTAAGAGACATCTAGCACTTATGCGGTTTTTCCATTTTTCATCGTCATTTTTCTCAGCTGACCGAGCTATGGTCGTCTTGGTTACGCGTCTCTTTCCGACAACACCACTCGGTTGCGTTGCCCGATCAACTTAGATTGTATGACGTCACTTTACTCGGCTTCGTTGCCGGGTCAACTTACTTTTTATTAGTCTTTAGACAAATTAGCCGTCTTTCTCTCTCTTGTTCAGGAATTCAGTAATTAAATTCAGACAGTTTTGATTCGCAACCGATGAAATGTCTTGTGTCACCGAACTTTGACAGAAATACTCCTACTATATTTGATTACAGTCTTTTTTACTCATTTTCCCCCCCCTTTTTTTCTTTTTTTGGGTCGGGGTGGGGCGGGCTGCTACTACTTTTGTTGCTGGCTTCTGGCTCTTGTTAGAAATTACACCGACGAAATCCCGCGACGGAACGCGAAGATCAGAAACGAAGATAAAAAAAATTATAATAATAATAATTATTCAATCACCAGCCGAGTGACTCGAAAGTCATAGCCCTCTCGTTAAGATTCACTGATAACGGGAAGATATCCGTGCTAACCTCGCCGTGTCCTTGAATGAAGCGCAATTGAACCCAGTATGATGACACACGGTGAAATATTCTCACCTTCCTTCCTTCGTTGATGTCTGTTGGTAATCAATTAAATTCGTAGGAGAGATTACACACGGGGGAAATTTCCGAAATTGAAAATTGAAAATTTATATGACTGTTGATGGAAAAATGTCGAAAAGGTAATCGTACACTCAATGATTAAACTCGAATTTTTCAATCTTTAATTTTCGGAAATTTTCACCGTTGTACGCCTGGTCTCCAATTTTGAAAATGGACCCGGAGACCCGGGAATAAGTGTGATTTCCCCGCTCAATTTTGTCGATGTAGCATGAACAATGGAGGTTGACATTTTATACTCTAAAACACCCGTCACCCGAAATTTTCCCGCTCAATTTTACATCATTGGTAACGTAATAGCATGAAAACAGTGTTGGTAAATCATTCAACACCCGTAAATTAACCCCGATTTTTCTGCTCAATTTTACTAGACTGATAAGGAATAAGCTTACCCGTCACCCCCTGATAGGTAGTGACGTCACACCATGGCACCATGGTTACAAAATCATAGACGCTACCTCACCCGACACCCATCACCCGTAATTAATTCAAATTTTCCCGCTCAATTTTACAACGTTGGTAACGCGTCACAGCATGAAAAGGCGGATGCCATTTTATACACTAAAATAGCCATCACCCGTAATTAATTCAAATTTTTCCGCTCAATTTTACAACGTTGGTAACGCGTCACAGCATAAAAAGACGACGGTTGCCATTTTATGGAGTAAATCACCCATCACCCGTAATTAATTCACATTTTTTCGCTCAATTTTACAACGTTAGTAACGTCACAGCATGAAAACATTGTTGTCAGATCATACACTAAAACATCCATCACCCATCAATTAATCACGATTTTCCTGCACAGTCTGACTACGTAGGTAACGTCTATACTTACCCTTGTTAGTCACGCAACACGCAACAAGTTGCCCCTTGCTGGGTAGGCAATCTGTGTAGGTGTCTGTATATCCTCATTTCTATACAACTCAAAATGTGGTGGGGATTTTTTGACGATTTTTTGTTTTGCAAATGATGAGAAAATTGCCCAAAACCACCACCGAATATTTGGTAATTTTAATTTGGAAAAGTAGAAAAAAACATGAGGCCAAAATTGGCAACTTCCAGATGCATATAACCCCTTTCTCTCACTGTGGTCTTCATTTAAGCTTTTTAGGATTTCGGAAAAAAAAATATATTTTCTCTTTTTCACCTATAGATGTGGATACTGCCACTGAATTCATATCCATAGTATTTTTTAACGGAAACTCATTGCTCTTTCCAGGGCCGGATTTACCTACTTGCCGCCTATGGGCCGCCTGTATTTTGCCGCCCCTTCTCATTCGTTTTGAAACATCAATAAAACCATCAAGTGAACGTGCCGGAGGGGGAGGGGTGCATAAGACACGTTTACGTACTCGTGTTGGATACTTTTTTTTGCGAAAGCCCTGTCAACACTACTAGCAAAATTTCACGGAACTTTGCGCGAAAGTTAAGTTCCGTAAACCTATCTCTATGTGGACAAGGTCCTCCATTTATTAGAAATGAACCAAATAATTATGAAAGAACAAATACATAAATGTGGTTTAATAATTTTAACTTCCGCCGCTGCGCCGCGCTGATCGTACTGTGATAGGCGCAATGCGTGAAGTATTCCTGCAGTCTCGTAGGCGTTATACGTTTCACGCCAACAGCTCCTGACCGCACTGTGTTTGGCGCAATGGGTGAAGTATTCATGCAGTCTTGTAGGCGCTAATGTGTGTTACATGCCGACCGCCGCGCCGAGGGCTTTTCTTTTTCATCTTAAGTCCTCGTCATCATTCCTCTCTGCGTTGAGCTCCAGGCCAAATTGCGTGTTTAGTTCCTCTCTTCACTCTACTAATGAAGGATGCTATTTCTTGTATCACCGAAAAACGACAAAATTAGAAATTACTTTACTCTCAGGTAAGGGAGATTTCGTCCCCTTTTTTCATGGATAATTTTTTTCTGAATCCGATTTTTTTATACCTACATTAAAAAAAAAATTGCAAAATTTTCCGCCATGGGCCGCGGCCCATGTGGCCACCCCCTTAATCCGGCCCTGGTTTTTCCAAGTATTACTTTATAATACAAAAGAATGGTCTGTTTGATAGATGAAATTGACCTTAGGAAATTTCCAATAACCCTTTTTCCTCGATGCAAAATTGATTCGAGTATCGACTATGATTTTGAATAAAAAATTGTAAGATTTTGGTTTACTAAATGCGTATGCCCTCAAATTAGGAGGAAACATGTTTACCCGGAATTTTAATTAAAAGTAAATTAAGAAGCAAAGAAATAGTCTATCCAGTGTCTGAGTGCGTGTCAATTTAAACAGTGTGGACTGTATATCCCTGTGGAATGCCACAAGTCTTTAGACATTCATGTCAGGCAAGTGGAAGCCCACGCAGAAAATTATTTGCACTGCGCACGGCGTACGTATTTATACACATTTATATGAGTAATCCGTATTCATCTGATTTATTATTTCCGCTTCTACATCCTTTTATTGATTAAGAACTACTTTCCAGAATCTTATTTAAATCTTTTAATCTTATATTAATCTTATTTAAAAATAAATTGAAAAGAGAAGATAATTAGTTTCATTTATTGAAATATTAAGCAGCTGTAACTTGATTAGTGGATGAAGAATAGAAAAACAGGAAACATAGCAGAAATAAAGGAGAAACTATTAACAACCATGCGGAGCACGGGTCTGCTGCTAGTTTTCTATACTTTTCAATGGTTAATATACCAATCACATGATCGTGCCTTCCGCAAAAGTAGAGGGCATTTAAGGTTGAAGTGAAACTCAATTTTTCAATTGTGTCTTTTAGAAGAACTTTCTGGGACGTTGTGTGATCATTTTCGAAGTGCTTTTCCGCAGTTAATAACAATTCCAACGGAAGGTTATACTCGTCGTTGATTTCTTTCTTTCTTTTGAGATACCAACGTAACTTCCTCTCGGTATTAAAGTGCAGGTGCCTAAACGAAAAGTGTCATTGGATTTCTTAGCAAGCAGGCAACCCGGTTCCTGCCCAACTAAAGATGATTCGAAGGTTGCCATTTTTTGTGACAGAGCGCCGTGCGATATAGGGCATCGATTCGCTCCATAATTTCAGGTACTTTCGGTACTTTTCAGGTACCTACTATTTTTTCGAATCTTAAGATCGCACTTCTCTTGTCATGAGACTAAAAAATTCATATACCAAATTTGAGAAAGAAATTCAACGTTCCTATTAAAGGTAATGTTTTTTTCAGAGGAAAAATATCGCATTCGATGTTGATATCGAAAGTGCTCTCAAATGCGATATTTTTTCTCTGAAAGAAAAAAAAAAACCACGCATTTGCTAAATACAATTCTAGCTGGAGCGCACTTCAGCTATGCATTCACCACTGCAAAAATGTCAAAGGAAATCGACAAGCCCAGCGTGCATGGACGCTATCTCCATTTAAATCTTCCTTCACATTCTTACGGCGCAATGATACAAATATTTGAACTCTCCGGAATGTGGGAGGTATCACGCCGCA